ACAGTACTCCATTCCTGAAGCAATCTGACGACAGAAACTGACCAGTAGACCTGGTACTGTTGATGCTACCAGTTCTCCTGGTCTATAATACACAATATTAATAACATAATCTACTGATAGTACATACTGTGGTTGGAGAGTGTGAAGGTATTGTCTCATGTCTCCATGAGGTATTAACTCCAGTACTATCATCATCTGTTCTCAATATAATAAAATAATTATTAATTATATTAATTAACTCACTGGCTCTCCAACAGTGACCATTCCATGTAACTTGACAATGTTAGGATGATGAAACTGACCCATAATGGCTGCCTCTTGAAGAAACTTGACCTTATCTTGCTCCACTGAACTATTCTTTAATGTTTTAATGGCAACTGGCTTTGACAACCACATTCCTTCATAGACAGTACCAAATTGGCCTGATCCTAACTCTTTAATTATTCTATGATAATAGAGTTAAAGCTAATCAAAGTGATTTTTTTTTGTTTCATTTACTGAATGTCTTTTTTTGCAATTTCTCTGAATCCTTTTGATGATAACTGATGATACAGACAATCTGTGTCATCACCAGGTTTCCAGTAAAGTGGTTCCTCTTGAACAGTTTGTGGCGGTGAGGTTGATAGCTGCAAAAAATGGCATCATCACAATGCTCATTCTAAAAATCATCTAACCTGTGCATGTGAGTGATCTGCTCTTGCTTGGCTCTGAAATTTAAAAGAAAACAAAAATCATTGTTATAGTTTTTGTATGACTTACACTTGATATGGGAACTGCATACATTTGTGGTATCATTATGCCGCTATTTTTTTCGTTATTGCTACAGATAATCTACATTATGCATCACATAAAATGTTATTTGACTAATAATGACTTTACTTCATCAGTATACATTGGGTTTTCTAATGTATTTGGACTTGGAATAACAACAGGAGTCTATAAACAAAAATAATTATATATACAAATGATGCTAATAATTACTGTAGGACTTGTTATTTTATGATCAGGAACTGCTTCATATTTTGGTGCTTCCTATAATTATTTCTAAAAATATTATTTCAGCTGTATTTTTATACAAACCTGCTCAGAATAAGTTGGATTACAAAGCCCTTGCTTAATCTGCATCAATAATAATCAAGGTGTTTAGTTCCAAATTTTTTTCTCATACTTACTGTATTATCAACAGGTTGGCTGTAGTCTAGATCATGAATTTTACGATACATATTGGAGCCTTCAGTGCTAAAGCTGCCACTTGCCACAATGGTATAATCATGATCTAAAAAGGAGTATCGGTTTATACATCTGAGAAGGGAGGGTAAGGTTGTCACAGCCACACATTAATAAAAGGAGTAACAGTTTACATGCATTGAAATTGTCAAGTCATGCATTGTGATGATGACTTACCATTCTGTGATGAGGCAGATCTTGTGATTGCCATACTGCTTAGGTGTATTGTTTTTCTTTTGTTCCTAGTTCTAGCAATAACAACAATAACAATGACCGAAATTGTCATTCCTGTAATCAATATTATAACACTAATTATAGTTCCAGCAATCACACCAATGTTACTATTACTAGCAAGAGATTCAGGACCAGTTGAAGGTGAGGTAGTAGCACCAACATTGAGACTAACATAGTTACTATCTGATACAAATTCACTTGTGCTGCTATCTTGAGATACACTTGTACTTCTGTCTTGAGGTACACTTGTGCTCTTGTCTTGAGATAAGGTAGTAGCACTAGCTACAATAGATATCAGTGGGTAATTATTAGTATTGTCTAGTAGTTCCAGTTCTAACTCGTCATCGTCATCAAATTCATAATTGGGTGGTCCGTTGTATTGCTGGTAGTACATTTGTGCATCATTTGAACTATCTATCACTAGTATATCATTGGGCCTAACTTCAACTGGATTGATTAGACTCACGCTATACAAATTAGTGCTAATATTAGTAGCACTAATAATGTTCAGACGTAACACATCAATCAGTTGAGATGATCTCTTAAGCTGAATTAATGGATGATGACTTTCAGCTTTTAAAGTTCCCAGTATTATGTTTTTGATTGTTCCATTACATGTGAACCGAATATCAGGGAATGCTCTCACTTTGTTTGTAACCCTTGTAATGCTAGTGACACGAGAGCTATTTGTAATCACATCATTTTGACTTAAGAAACCTCGAAAGCAGTCATCATTTGGTTCTATAAAATAAAAAATATTTGCTTTATATTATTACATGATTACTGACCTGATATTGGGTGTACGAGAACATCAAAAGAATGAGATATAAAATTAGAAATTGATAATGAATCATTGTTGATATCAGCATCTTTTATTCTTAGTACATTGTTGTTACTTGGTACTTTATAAAACCTAACAACACTACTATCATTGGCTGGTTGGTATATTCCTAAGCGAGTGCTTGAATTAAAACTGATTGGTGTAAGAAACATGAATTTGTAGGTTCCATTTGTGCTAAAATTAGCTGGGGTTAGTGCAATAGAAATATTCTGTTCCTTGAAATATGCGGAATTGCCATTACTTATCCTCCATATTTCAAAAAGAGGATATTCATTACGACTCTCAGTTACTGTTCTTATGTCCACTCCTAGTGTGAGTCCAGTTATCACATGTGAGCTGCTACAGGATGACTTTGGTCTAAAATGATGCCCAAATATCCATCTTGTAGGTTGTGATTCAGCTAATGTAGTGATCGATGATCCCAAACTGGGAGTGATCTGCTCAGCTTTAGCAGTGAGAAGATCATGACTCATGAATCCTTCAGTACAAGACTCAACTGCATCAGCTACAAAGACAATGGCTAATACATTTGCATAGAATATACATGTGCAGCACCTTGTAACAGAAAAATAGATAAGAGAACAAGTAGATCTAACTTCATCTTGCAAGTTGTATGCACACCTGCACTCAGCACTTAAGTACAATTCCTTATTAGGTAAGAGCAATAAAGCAAAGTATATTAAATTTAGCAGTACAATCAAATGATAATTATAAAAGACATAAAAACTTAAACAACATATAAGTACATAAAAATAAAAATAATAATCAAGCAAATATAAAACACGATTAAGTTACTGATACATATTTTGTAGTTCAGTATATAGTTGGTGTCCAGTCTCCAGTGGTCCTCCTATTACTGTAGTATCACTTGATACTGTACTCAACAGTTTAGCATCAGATAATGAGAGTCTTGATACTAACTGTACAAATGTAGGACGACTACCAGTATCTGGATGCCTATAAACAAACAAATATTAATAATACAGTAATTAATGATACATACCAGCATTGTATCATCATCTCATATATAGACCTGGGACAACCAGGAGGAGGAGGAAGACGAAATCCTGAATCAACTCTTCTTAAACACTAGGAAATAAGTCAAATAAAAAATAACCATGGGCTTGAAAAAACCTTCGTTTTTTTGTCCAAAAATTGGGTCATTTTTAAAATGCTAAAAATTCTGTCAACAACAACTTAAACTTTCTACATAGTATAAGGACATCAATAAGTATCAAAAGATGTAATAAATTTTGGAGTGATTTTGGAGCCATTTCTTGAAAAAACCATGGGCTATAGCCTTGGGTATTTTTCAAAATTGGCTCATTTTTTAAAATGCTCATAACTCAAGAATATTTGTCAGAAACAGCTCAAACTTTCTACATAACACAAAGGCATCAATATGTATCAAAAAATGTAGTAAAAAATTTGAGGTGATTTTGGAGCCATTTTTTGAAAAAAACCATGGGCTATAGCCTTGGGTATTTTTCAAAAATTGGCTCGTTTTAAAAAATGCTCATAACTCAAAAATTATTTGTCAAAAACAGCTCAAACTTTCTACATAGCACAAGGACATCAATATGTATCAGAAAATGTAATAAAAATTTGGGGTGATTTTGGAGCCATTTTTTTGAAAAAACCATGGGCTATATATAGCCTTGGGTATTTTTCAAAAATTGGCTCGTTTTTAAAAATGATCATAACTCGAAAAATATTTGTCGGAAACAGCTCAAACTTTCTACATAGCACAAGGGCATCAATATGTATCAGAAAATGTAATAAAAATTTGAGGTGATTTTTGAGCCATTTTTTGAAAAAAACCATGGGCTATAGCCTTGGGTATTTTTCAAAAATTGGCTCGTTTTTAAAAATGCTCATAACTCGAAAATTATTTGTCAAAAACAACTCAAACTTTCTACATAGCACAAGGATATCAATATGTATCAGAAAATGTAATAAAAATTTGGGATGATTTTGGAGCCATTTTTTTGAAAAAACCATTGGCTATAGCCTTGGGTATTTTTCAAAAATTGGCTTGTTTTTAAAAATACTCATAACTCGAAAATTATTTGTCAAAAACAACTCAAACTTTCTACATAGCACAAGGACATCAATATGTATCAGAAAATGTAATAAAAATTTGGGGTGATTTTGGAGCCATTTTTTTAACCATGGGCTATTATAAAAAATTGGCTTATTTTTTTAAATGCTCAAAACTCAAAAAATATTTTTCAGAAGCAGCTCAAACTTTCTACATGGCATAAAGATGTATCAGAAAGTGTAATAAAAATTTTTGGTGATTTCGGACCCATTTTTGAAATATCAACATGGGATACAGCCTTGGGTACTTTTTCAAAAAAATTGGCTTGTTTTTAAAAATGCTCATAACTCAAAAAAATTTGTCGGAAACAGCTCAAACATTCTACATGGCTTAAGGTATACGTCAGAAAGTCCAATAAAATTTTGGGGGTGATCAAATGAAATATTCAAACTTGATTGGAAATAGTACAACTTTTTACTCAATATATAAACATGTATGTGTTAAAAAAATTATAAGAATGAATCATCTTTCAACAACTTTTTGATTACATACCTCTTGATTGGTGCAGTTTTCAAATGGTTTATGTCCCAGACTCCATATCTCATACATTACTGCACCAAAACTCCATACATCACTAGCACTGGAATAATGCTTGAAATGCAAAGCCTAGTGATAATAATGCACAATACAATTGAGTTGGTTTTTAGTGATTGATTGTTACTTCAGGAGCTGTCCATTTGATAGGAATCCTCTTTGCAGTAGTAGATACATAGTAATTTTCATCATGTAGATCTCTTGACATTCCAAAGTCAGCAATCTTTTCAATAATGTTTATAAATATTAATATACTAAACACTTTACTTTACACATTCCATGATCAGTCATCAGTATATTCCTAGCAGCCAGGTCTCTGTGTACAAACCCTTTCTTAGACAAGTACTCCATACCTGAAGCAATCTGACGACAGAAACTGAGCAGTAGACCTGGTACTGTTGATGCTACCAGTTCTCCTGGTCTATTATACACAATATTAATAACATAATCTGCTGATAGTACATACTGTGGTTGCAGAGTGTGAAGGTAATGTCTCATGTCTCCATGAGGTATTAACTCCAGTACTATCATCAACTGTTCTCAATATAATAAAATAATTATTAATTATATTAATTAACTCACTGGCTCTCCAACAGTGACCATTCCATGTAACTTGACAATGTTAGGATGATGAAACTGACCCATAATGGCTGCCTCTTGAAGAAACTTGACCTTATCTTGTTCCACTGAACTATTCTTTAATGTTTTAATGGCAACTGGTTTTGAAAACCAAGTTCCTTTATAGACAGTACCAAATTCTCCTGATCCTAACTCATTGATTACTCTATAGTTCAATGACAATACTTTTAATTATTCTAAATGATTTCTGTACTTTATATCATTTCTCTTTAGTTGTTTGTAACCCTTTGACTCCATTTGCTGATATATACTGCTAGTGTCATCACCAGGTGCCCAGTAATCAGGTTCCTTATTACCTTTGCTTAATGGTGTAGCTGATTGATCCTGTCATTAAATACAAAAGCTTTGAAATTTGGAGTTAAAATGCTAATTTAATTCATCATAAATAGCAATTTGATTGTCTGGTAAATGTCATTCAACCTTTGCATCCTGCATGAAATATTATGATGAATTTGTGCTTGTTTAGTCCAGAATTTGTAAAATGTATTTAAAGTTTCTAGCAATATTATTTTATTTTTTACAGTAAAACTAGCCGTATTATTGAAGCTAAAAGTGTCAATTAATTTAAAACAAGATTATTTACATTGATTGGTGGGGCCTCCAGTGTTTCATAAGCAGGGGTTGCTACTGTTGGTACTTTTTCAAATGACTAGAGGTAGATATTAGTATATTTATCACATCACAAATATAATTATTATTGTCTCACCTTATCATCGTAAAGTGGATTAGAAACACTAGATCTAGATGCTTTTTGCTATAAAATATGTATGCAATGAACAGAAACCATAAAGCTTACTGGGATTTCAGGAGCTGTTTCATGAGTTTCATGAAAGCGATCATTAGTCACAAGCCCTGGTAACTGGTCTACATCTTCATATACTGAATAATTAACAGAAAGATCACGAATACTGGTATGTAGTGCACCTAATAAAGAAAGAACATTTATACACATGAACATACCAGCACCAAAAATTGAGTGTAAGGAAGTGACTGTTTTTACTTGTAGAGTCATCAGATGCTGGAAGTAATGGGACACGACCCAAGTAGCGTTTCTTCCTCTTTTTTATAGCAAACATTGAGACAATAATAAAGGCCACACTAATAGCTATAAATAACACTAACATACTAATGACAATAGCAATCACTGTAGAAGCACTACTGCCAGTTGAAGGGTTTGAGAAGACTGAAGAGCTCATGGTAAGAGAAGGTGTCACAATGGGAGAAGAGCTTGATATGCTATCAATTGAACTACTAGAAGGAGTAGAAGTTCCTACAGTATTAGGAGGAATAGTAGACGATGAACTGTTAGAAGGAACATTAGTCATCATAGAGGTACTGCTAAAGATAGAAGTAGCACTTGATGTTGAAGTGGTGTTGGTCATAGATGAACTGCTAGAAGTAGTGGTCATCACAGACGTACTGCTAGGGGCAGCACTAGTTACAGTAGTAGAACTAACTGAGGAGTCACTGGGAGCAGTAGTAATGATCACTGTTGAACTAACTGGAGTGGTATCAGTTGCAACTGAACTGCTCAAAGTAACAGTGGTCACAGATGAATTAGGAGTTATAGTTACCAGTACAGATGAATCACTACTGAGAGTGATGGACACCATTGTAGATGATATGATGGTATTATTAGTAGTGCTAATAATAGCCGTGGTAAGCACTGTAGAGGTTGTTCTTATAGAAGTTGTACTAATGACTGGACTTGTACTTGTTGATGTAGCCACACTAGTAGACGTCACTGAGTCTAAAGGCAAATCATAGTAATAAAAATATATATTATCAATAACTTACTTGATACTTCTACAGTGACTAATGGGAAATTATTATTTGAGTCTGTTACAAGTGCTTGAGTTATTGTTGAAAGAGGACTATCAGCAAAATCGTTGATTTGTTCATTAAGTGGCCCATTCCCTACCTGCTCATATAAAGACAGTACACCTTGAATTAAGTGAAAAATATGAACACCAAATATGTCTCCTTCCTGGAACTGCAGTAGAGTCTGAGGAATAAACTCATAGAGATTAGTACCAATCATTGTACTAGCATTAACTAAACTAGATCCTATTTTATTGTAATTATTGGGACCCAGTTGACGCCATATTTGAAGTTCATGTTGTCCACTTTCCATTGTAAAAATGCCTTCTCCTCCATATATCCATTTAGTGAGGGATCCATTACATGAAAACACAATTTCAGGATATAAATACAGCCTTCTACCATCAATAGCTGCACTACTTTGGATTGTTAGAAAATTATTTCTAATAACTGATGGAGTGATTGAATTGGTACTATTAACACAGTATCCATCTAATGATAGTAAAATAATTCAATGATACAGTGAGTGTGTGTCTTACCTGTTACTGGATATACTAATATCAACTGATTTGTGATTGGAGA